CTCAGTACTTCATGCATACAAACAAAAAATCAACCAAATAAATAAATAAATAGATAGAAGGTCCATTGACAACCAAACAAAGTTCAATTAAAAAAAAAAAAAGGAACCAGAGATTTGCAACAGAGCAGAAACTGGTGAAAAGAAAACAAAGGAAAAGTATCTAAGCCCTTACATTTACACTGGTTTACTGTTGAGAGCCACCCCCAAAGGGGCCCCACCAAACTTCCAGCTGCCAGCTGATTGGCTCCTATGCAGTGATGCTCATTGGGCAGTTTCCCTGCCCTTTCAGACAACTGAGCAGCTCACTGGGGGACTCTTTTGGCTCCGCCCACACAACCCAGCCAATCAGCCTCAAGAGCAGGAGGAGTTGGGGGTTGAGAGGCTCGCTGGAATCCGGTGGTGGCAGTTGGGCTCTGAGGGAATTCCTGAAGAGCTGTGTAGTGCAGTGTGTGTGTGTGTGTGTGTGTGTATGTGTTCTGTTCATTTCTGCTTGACAAGTGGCTCATGAATTGTGCCCAGCCAGACTGCGGCAGTTTACCTAGCATAGGAATTATTAATAACTGCATTAATTATAAAGATAGTCTAGCTAGATTGTTAGCTCCAGTTCATCAAAACATCTTTACCCCACGATCAAACATATTTGATAAAATAAATTATCAAAATGAAATCAGCAATAAAAACCAGGACAAGCTTCTTAAACTTAAAAAAAAAAAAGAACAGAACATACTGGGGTCTTTATGTCTGAACCATATTTTCCCTTCCCCATGATCCCCACTGGCCCCCTGGAATGAGGTATTTTTATGTGGTATATATAAATGAAATCATAGTATTACTAATTTCGTATTACCTGTTGAAAATCTGAATTTCTTGTCTGTTGGTAACATACCTTAAAATTTTATACTGAATATCTCACATTAAAAAAAAATAATGCAAAGTAATGACTCTTGGCAAGGATATAGAAAAACAAGAAACTTCCCATATTGATGACGAGAATGTAAAATGGTGGTTCCTCAGAAGATTAAATATAGAATTACTATATGTAATTGGTAATTCCACCTCTGGAGATACACCCAAATTAACTGAAAAACAGGGTCTCAAACAAATAGCTATACAACAATATTCAAGGCAGTATTATCCATAACAGGGAAATATCAAAGTGACCACAACAGGTGAATGAATAAATAAAATGGAAACACTATTTTTTTTTATTTTGGACTAATTATTCATATTTTGACATCTTTTTTTTTCAAAGCTTGCTCAACATTTTTTAAAATATTTTCTTTAAGGGCTGGGAATGTGGCTCAGCGGTAGCGCGCTAGCCTGGCATGCGTGCGGCCCGGGTTCGATCCTCAGCACCACATACCAACAAAGATGTTGTGTCCACCGAGAACTAAAAAATAAATATTAAAAAATTAAAAAATAAAAAAAAATAAAAATAAAATAAAATAAAATATTTTCTTTAGTTATAGATGGACACAATACCTTTTTTTTTTTAATTTTTATGTAGCGCTGAGGATCAAACCCAGTGCTTCACACATGCAAGGCAAGCGTTCTACCCCTGAGCTACAACTGCAGCACCATATTGTGATATCTTGACACTGCAATCTGCAAAATTCAGAAGAATACATTATTTATATATATATATATATATATAAATTTTAGCCTTAAAAATGAATAAAATTCTGGGGGGTAGGGTTGTGGCTCAGTGGTAGAGCACTTGCTTTGCATGTGTGTGGCTCTGGGTTCGATCCTTAGAACCACATAAAAATAAAATAAAGGTATTTAAAAAAATGAATAAAATTCTGATAATGATTCAAAATGGATGAACCTTGTAAATATTATGCTAAGTGAAATAAGCCAGATACAAAAGAGCAAATATATTATTCCACTTACATAAGGAACAAAGAATATCAAATTCAAAATATCAGAAAGTAGAACAGTGGTTACCGGGGAATAATAGGAGGGGGAAATGGAGTAGTACTCTTTAATGGGCATAGATTTTCAGTTTGGGATTATGAAAAAAAATTCTGGCCGGGCATAGTGGTGCATGCCTGTAATACCAGCAGCTCAAGAGGCTGAGGCAGGAGGATCATGAGTTCAAAGCCAACCTCAGTAACAGTGAGGCACTAAGCAACTCAGTGAAATAAAATATAAAATAGGACTGGGGATGTAGCTCAATGGCCAAGTGCCCCTGAGTTCAATCCCCAGTACCAAAAAAAGAAAAGAAAAAGTTGGAGATGGATGGTCATAAGGTTGTACTATAAAGTGAATGTACTTTATGCCAGTGAACTGCATATTTAAGAATGGTTAGAATAGAGCTGGGCACAGCTGTACATGCCTGTAATCCCAGAAATTTGGGAAGCTGAGGCAGGAGAATTGCAAGTGCCATGCCAGGAGTGGCAATGTAACTTAGCAAGAACATGTCTCAAAATAAAACATAAAAAGATCTGAGAATATAGCTCAATAATTCTGAGTTCAATCCCCAGTACTGGAGGGGGAAAAAAGTTAAAATGATAATTTTGAATGTTATGTATATTTTACAATTTTTTTAAAAAACTGAATTAGGATAAGTTAAAAGAAAATTCTCACCAATAAGATATCACAACAATAAAAATGTAGAAAGAACAAACATTTTGCCAAAGAATACACAGTGATGGCAGATAAGCATATGTGCTTATTATCATTAAGTTATTGAGAAAATTCAAATTAAAGCCACAATGAGATACCACTAACCATCTATAGAATGGCTTTCAAAAACATGACAATATCAATGCCAAAGAGGAAACAGAACAGCTCTTATTCATCGATGGACCCTGGTTCTAGCCTAACTAGTACTTGCACTCTCTGAACTTTATTTTGTTCATTCGTAAGGATCTATGAATAAAATACAACTCTAAAAATGTGGCAATATATAGCAAAAAAAATACAGTTCTCTTTCAGGACTACAGTTTAAGGGAACATGGATATGCATTACTCATCAAACTCGTGCTATTAGAACCTCTGTTTTCAAAATCAGAAACCAAATAAATTTGATAGCAATAATATTTGTAATCCAAGATACAGAAAGATCTTCAAATACTAGATGACTGTCATATTATCTTAATTATGAAAAAGTAAGAAATAACCTAAATAGTCAGCAATAAAGCAGTATTCTTTATCCAGAGTTGGTCTCTTATAACACATCACCCCTTCCCTGTTTCAACTCCTTTCATGGCTTCCTATTAGATCTAGAGTCAACCAGCTAAATTCCAATCCTAAAACACTGGCTGAACCTGGGAAAGTTAACTAATATTTTTAGACCTTAATTTCTCGTCAATAAATAAAGTATCACATAGAGATGCTTAAGAATGGCTAATAAATGCAATGCCTATGAATTTCAAAATTTTACTTGAGCATTTTTGGTGCTGAGGATTGAACCCAAAGCCTGTGTATGCTAAGCATACTGTACCTCTGAGCTCGTCAGTTTTTAAAAATATCACACATAAAAAAAAAAACTTATACATTCAAGTAAGTGTTATCTCTTAATAACTATTGCCATTTTTAAAATTTACTAAATGAATACTCTCTGCCAGAGCCTGTACTAGTTCCTTTATTCACTGACTATGCAGAGCTATCTTGTTTAGTTGTAATCACCTGCAGGCACCACATATAAATACAACAATGAATAAAATAATAAATAATAAAATAATAAAATAATTCACGGCAGCTTTATTTGTAATATCTCTAAATTGGAAATAATCCAACTGTCCTCCAACAGGTGAATGGCTAAAAAAACCTTGATATATCCATACCATGGATTACTACTCAGCAATAAAAGAATATATTATTGTTGCATTCAACAACCTGGATGATTCTTTCAGAGAATTTTTCTGGATGACAAAATTATACAGATGGAGAAGAGACTAGTGATTGTCTGTGGTTAGGAATGAGGGGAAGGGAGAAAACCAAGTACAATTATAAAGAGATAGCATGAATGATCTTTGTGGTGATCAAATAGTTCTAATACTGATTGTGGTTAATAGTCGCATGAATATTTGATAAAATTACACAGAACACAGATCTATATTCATAAACATATATACACATACACAAACAAGTACTTGCAAAACTGAGCAATCATAATAATAAGGTCTACTGTACTCTAATTATATAAGATGTTACTATAAGGGAAAACTGGGTGAGTAGTACAAGAGACCACTCTGTGCTTTATTTTTGCTACTTTCTATAAATCTATAATTACTTCAAAATAAAAGATTTTTATAAAAATATTCAGGCTTCTTTTACACAACTCCCAGCACCAGTGTATCATCAAGACACTAAAGTCTCTTTCAGAATCTAAGAATCATGTTAGAACTCTTCCTTCCAGAGATGGTCTGCAATCCATGTTGTTGTCCTCTTTTTTTTTTTTAAATATTTTTTAGTTGTAGATGAACACAATACCCTTATTTTATTTATTTATATGTATGCTGAGAATTGAATCCAGTGCCTTACATGTGCTATGCAAGCACTCTACCACTGTGCTACAACCCCAGCCCATGTCCTCTTTTCTTTTTATTTATTTATTTTGGTTGAACACAATACCTTTATTTTATTTATTTATTTTTATGGTGCTGAGGATCAAACCCAGGGCCCCATAAGTGCTAAGCGAGTGCTCTACCACCGAGCTACAATCCCAGCCCATCCTCTTTTCTTTTTAAATCAATAGTTACTAAGGGTTTACTGGATGTCTGGCCTTGTATCAGAAGCTAAGTTATATAAGATCAGTTACTTATGAAACCTTCTGAAGTGAGCTCTCAATCTAATGATAATAAAAAGAATATAATAGGGCTGGGGTTGTAGCTCTGTGGTAGAGTGCTTAGCATGTGTGAGGCACTGGGTTCGATTCTCAGCACCACATACTAATAAATAAGTAAAATAAAGGTCCATCAACAACTGAAAAAGAGGATATGAAAAAAGCATTGGAACAGAAGTAAAAAAATTACTGTTTTGAATTTACTTACTAGACATTTGATTTTGTACCAATTCTTCACCTTTTGGCATGCTGATTTCTTAATCTGCAAAACGGAATAGAACATATATAAATATGTTGGGTTTTTTGCCTGTTTGGTTTTTTTTGATACAAATGATTGACCCCAGGGGCACTCAACTACTGAGATACATCCCCAGCCCTTTTTTTTTATATTTTAGAGACAGGGTCTTGCTGAGTTAATTAAGGCCTCACTAAGTTGCTGAGGCTTTGAACTTGAGATCCTCCTGCCTCAGCCTCCCAAGCTGCTGGGATTAGGCACCCACCTATAAATATGTATTTTAAATTTAACCTAGGGCTTCTGGGTAAATTCTAGGGTATAAGTAAATTACTTGAAATTATGTGAAGAGGCACATAACTGTATCTCTGTCCTAGGAAAAGGTATTATGTGTGTGTGTGTGTATATATATATATATATATATATATATATATATATATATTATTCTGAGCAACCTATAAAGGTTTAAGACAACTGAACTGGATTTTTCAATTTAATTTCTAACAGTCTTGTATTCTAACAGTCCATTTTCTAATAGATCTCTAAGATCCCTCTTCTATCTCTAATATTCCATGATTCCAATAAGGATGGAAGAAATGGACTAGAGATGTGACATTTCATGATTCATTCCATGATTCATGATCCCAAATACCATAAAATTTCACTCTCTTTTCCAATGGGACAGGTTTAAATTTTAAATATGTAACTCTATGACCTTTATGACTTACCCTCCCACCAACCTTCCAACCTCATCTCACCCCTTCTCTAGGTCCTAACCACTCCATCTAGCTTGTAGTTTGCACAAAATTTTGCTCCCGTTCACTATACCCCTTTGTATACAGTGGTCAGCTCTTCTACTTTATCAAAAAGAAAAAAAAAAAAGGTAGAAATCTCTCAAGATTTAATGGCAGCAGCTAAATACCATGAAAGATCTATTGTGATGACTTTCAAGGATTTGAAATCTAATCCACTGGATTTACTTCTACCCATGCAAGGGAGACATCCTACAGGAAGGGCAAGTTTGGCATAAGGGCCACTGTGTGTTGATCATTGTTAAATATGCCCATTCATCCTCCACAGAGCTCAAAGGCACAGCAAGGGTCATATGGGGTAGGCGTCCCTTTGGGGACCTCGGTTTCTCTTTCTGTGAAATGTAGATACAAAACCGGTTTATGAATCATCTGTCAAACAGAACATAATAACATTTATGGAAGGGCTGTCAACGCTACACACTATTACCTGCATCTTTTAAATTCACGCCGTATTTCTTATTTCGCAAATAAGAAATAATAAGCAATTACCTAATGAAAACAGCAGCAAACTTTTATATTTATATATATGTGTGTGTTTTATATATATATATATAAAATTCAATTATATATAATTCAATTATATATGTATATATAATACCAATGGATCTTTATTTTTATTTATTTATATGCGGTGCTGAGAACCAAACCCAGTGTCTCACACATGCTAGGCAAGCGCTCTACCACTGAGCCCCAGCCCCTGCACAGCAAACATTTTTAAAGCTCTATCTTTCCAAGGGCTTTATTTAATTCTCCCAACAATTCTGAGGTAGGTACCATCACTGCCAGGGGCCGTCAGGAAAAGAACTCTTGCAAAGGAAATTCCAAGCCAGCCTGACTTGAACACTTCAGCCCAGAGCAGATCAACAACATTATACTGTAAGTCACATTTGTAATTTAAATTTTCCTAGGAGAGCGAGTGTATTAGTTTTTCGGCCGAGACACCGGAACTTGAAGTCTACCTCTTCTCTTCTGGACTCCCCCTTCGGCGCCTTTTACGGCGCGCATTCCAACTCTTGCTTCGACACCGAGGGAGGTCAGGGGGTGCTACCACCTAGCCAGATTCCCTGCATGCTGGGATTCGACGGCCGCAATACGTTCTCAGTGACCTCCTGACGTGACTGCACAACGCTAGGGGGCGTTGCTTGCGGAAGCCAGGGTTCGGCTTCCGGGTGCTCTCGCGCTGACCTGATCATAGAGAAGCTAGAGGAGACTCCCACTTCCGGTCGCTCCAGCTGCTTTGCCGGTGCAGGTAAGCTCGGCGAGCTTCGGTGGGTCTCGAGTCCGCCTCTAGCAAGGGTGGTGCGGGCTCCGCTCTTAGCGAGAAACATCTCCCTCACCCCAACCTCACGCAGACGCAGTGCTGAGCCCACAGTTGCCGGACAAAGAGTGACGCCGGGAGCCGAAGTCATGGCGGCGACCGAGCCGAGTTTAGCAGCCACCGGGAACCCAGCAGCTGCGCCGCCCGAGCTGCAAGAGGGAACCGACCCTGAGCCCAACTCTGCGGGATCCTGGATTTCAGAGTCGTCTCCGCCTGCCCCTGAGCCCGCCAGCGCCAACGCCGCGATCCCTGAAGTGAATCCTGTGGCCCCCGCGGCGGCCTTCGCGGCCCCCGAGCTGCCTCTGGGGCCCGCACCCCCGGGTTCTGCACCTCAAGCCGAAGCTGCCCCGCACTTTCCTACAGGTCCGAGTGGCTCCCGGCCCGGCCCCGAGACGTTCCGCCAGCGTTTCCGGCAATTCCGCTACCAGGACGCGGCTGGCCCCCGGGAGGCGTTCCGGCAGCTGCGGGAGCTCTCTCGCCAGTGGCTGCGGCCCGACATCCGCACAAAGGAGCAGATGGTGGAGATGCTGGTGCAGGAGCAGCTACTGGCCATTCTACCTGAGGCAGCGCGGGCCCGGCGGCTCCGACGCCGCGCGGACGTGCGCATCACCGGCTGAACGGCGAGGCTGAGCACTTTCTTAGACTGGGGCCATGATGCGTAGGGGGTCGGAGCCTGGCACCCCACCCCATGTTAATGAAAAACGAGTTTTGACAGCTCCTGTGGCCTTAGTGTGTCTATTTTGTTCGTCCTTCATTGGGTTTATTTCACTTGAGTTTATTTCCTACCTCCTTTCTGCTATTAGAGAAAGGAAGCTGGAAGCCCACGAGAATAAAGCCTTTGCTGTTCCCTGGGCTTTCGTTGCCTATTGTGAGATCCTTAAATGTTGGCTAGACCTGGACCATTCCTCCATCTGTGAAGTTTTTCTTCTGGACTCCCAAGAACCCTCTTGGGTTTCCTTTGTCTAGTGGAAGGCTGTTTGATGAAGATTTCAGCAGTTCCATTCCTCCTCTGCCTCTTAATGGCTAGAACCTGAGTTTTGTTTCCTACCTGAAAAGATAGGGATACTTCATGGCTGTGGGATTCTGAAGGCAAAATAGCTGAATCTATTAAATGCTCACTTCAATGGCTACCTCTGTACCTATACAGCTACCAACTTGCTCCACCTGCATTTTGAGCATAAGTTTCCCAAGTTATTTGGCTATTTTCATGTCAAATGTTTTATTTACTGCTTGCCCTTACAGAGAGACTAGGTCTGTTTTGTGAGCCAGGGTTTATGCCATTGGACTTGCTTATTAAAACTGCTTGACTTCCTTGTCAAAATTTAGGCCCCTAATCCCAGCAACTCAGGAGAGGTTGAGGCAGGAAGATGGCAAGTTCAAAGCCAACCTCAGGAACTTAATGAGATCTTGTATAAAAATAAGCATTTGTATATTCTTGGGCTTTCTTGGCAGAGTCTGGGTTTGCCTCCTGCAAAACATAGATGTGTTTAAAAGATAAAAGCAGGCTTCCTTCAAAAGGTAATGGTTACAAGCAGGGCACGGCCTGTAATCCTAGTAACTTGGGAGCCTGGGGAGAAAGGATCACAAATTCAGGGCCAGACATGGCAACTTAGACCCTCAGCAAGGTAGAGAATCTGTCTCAAAAAAGCTGGGGATGTAGCTCAGTGGTAAAGCACCCTTGGGTTCAATCCCCAGTACTGCAAAGAAAAAAAAAAGTTTCAGAAGATTAAATAATACATATTAAAAAGTAATTCAGTAATATGTGACTGAAACAGCAACAAGAACCTGTTTTATTTTTTTCCAAATACAGATACAGAAGTTTGCATGTTTTTGCAAATATTGCTTCAAAGCAACATTTCTATATACAGCGCCTTCTGTTCTACTAGCGCGTAAACATAGATATGTATCCACAGTGCAATGTTGGCTCATTGAGAATCCACCTTGTATAAAGTCATCAATTAAGCAAAATGATTAGTCAAACCAGAACTGTTTTTGTCAAGGCAGTTTTTTATAGGTGGATAGCTTTTCTCAATAGACAAAATTTAGGTAGTGCACATATTTCTAAATGGTAATCAGCAATGTTTGCAAATAACAGTTTCCAGTGCTCCAACTTGGGGTTAATTCACCTTGACCCAGGAATTGGGAATGGAGCCCCTCAACATGGCTTTAAATTAGGGAAGCACACTGAGGTTATCAGAACATTGGGGAGTCTTCCCTGCTTCCCTAAGAACAAAAGTCACAATGAGTGAAACGGGATTATTTTATAAAACCTAAATGATAAGTCCAGTAATGGCCACTTGACAAAATTAGGATAATTCAGTTTCAGCTTCCATCTTTGAACAAGACATTAAATTGACTCTTAAAAATTACAGCTTCCCCAATTGTGATACTCAAATGTAGTTTCAGAAAAATAAGTAATAATACAACAATCGATATAGCCCCACAGTTATGGCTATAGAAAATCATCCTGCTTCTTCCCTTTTCAGATAAACATTACACAAATCTTAAAATGCAGCTGTCTGATAAATAATCCAGAACACAGACGCCACACACTGAGCCATTTCTTCCCACACCAGAAACACCAATGCAGTGTGAAACAGCCTCTTGTAGAGGAATTGTGTCAGCTTCCTTACAGATGTTACAGCCAGCCACATGGATCAGTTACACAGGTCAACTTGTCCTATAATTTATTTTATATCAAATGATGGATAAATCACTAGACAGGGCATTCCTTAAAACATCTTAGGTCCAGAGGCCTGAATTTACAAAGACAATGACCTGTGTCTTAAAGCCCAACCATTCCAACAATTGCTGGAGATACTGTCATTGCTATTGAGATATTGGCTTATACGTTTACATAGTAAATATTTGCAGCATATAACATTACAGATTCATAAACCCATAATTGTGTTAATGGACAGCTGTGCTTTGATTTTTATCTTTAGTGATAAGAAAATCAGTGAATCAGGTCATTCCTCAAAGCAAGGAATGTTTTAACTTTGCTCGATAAAAACAAAACAAAATACAGCAATTACATGTGGAACTGTAACCTGCAAAAGTAACACAAATATTGTTTCAAAAGGTACAAATAGATGAAACTTGGACCTTAAGCAGCATAATCACCTTGATCTCACAGAGTAATATAAACAGGAAATTTAAAGTGTTAAAGTATATTAACAATTCTGAAAATGCCAACTATTGAACATACCTTTCAGGGAAGGAGAAAAGTGGCACATAGAGAATCTGAAGTTTGTTGACCACAATACAAAATAAAGTAATTCCCCAAACCATATTCTTTGTAACAAATCTTTACAGTGGAAGAGTTTGACATTTTGGGAAACTTTTTTTTAAACCTTAAATAGAACTAGGAAGCTGTCTTAATATTAAGAAGTGGATAGAAAATGCTGTCCTCTGGGTTCTAGACCCTGCCTGCTTCAGTTTGGAATTCCTCCTAGATTCTTTTACATCAAGATTCTAGTTCCTTCAGCTGTATGGCCTCTATGAAAAGCCAAAACCCAGCCAACTCTGGGGTGAAACATATAAAACTTGTCCCTGGTACCATAAAGTCATGCAAGAGATGTGGTGAGAAAAGTGAAGAGTCCTAAGGAGAAAGCAGGGCATTTGAGGCCTCTGCTCCTTCCCAACTTCCGCAGCATAGTCAAGTCCCAACATTCCCATGAAGCTGGAAAATGAAAATGATACCTGCTGCCTAAACATGCCAGGCAGAAATCAAAAGGTTTGGCATGTGCCCCAACCTGACAGAAAAGTCAATTAAATAAACTGTAAATTGAATCTACAACTGTTTCCAACAAACTTTTTTGGCTCTCATTCCATTTATCATCAGTGGCACGATTTCAAGTGAAGTTTGTGCAAAAAGACTCTCTTCATTCAATGATGTGCACAGAAGGGAATCCCAAGAGTCTATTTGCTACCTTCTTGGTAGGCTTCCAGATCAGAGTGCCCTGCCCTCCAGCAGCCAAAATGGCCTCTTTGTCCAATGTCTTCACACTCCTGGCCAGATCCCTGAAGTTAGTCGGTGTCACGTGCATTCAGCATGCTAGATTTATTTATTTAAATATGCGAAGCTCCTCCTGCAGGTGCCCCGGATTGTGTCCCCATTAGTCTTGGTTGCCCAATTTCATGTTGAGCAGCAGAGGGCGATCTGCTGCACCTTGCCCAGGTCTGTCAGCAGTTGTTTGATGCAATGCTTGAGCTGTGGAAGCCTGGCCAGCGGCTCTGGGGGCTCCAATTCCCCAGTGTAGTCTAGCCAGCTCTCCAGCACTGTTGGCAGAAGAGAGAGATGAAACCCAGTGAGCCCCCAACACTTGACTTTCAAGAACCTCAGCAAGAGTTTTAGCTCCTTATCTCAGGAGGACAGGGAAGAGGGCCATTTCAGCCAATGTTGCTTCAACACCTGTCCCACAAAGCATTACTCCTGGGACAGAGCTCAAGTGCTTTACAGCAGCATAGTCCAAAAGAACTCTTTGACAATGAAAGTGATCTATGTTTCTACTATCCAAAACAGTAGTCACTAGCTATTGTTTTGTTGCTACTAAGCACTTGAAATGAGGCTGGTACAACTGAAAAGATGAATTTTAAATTTTATTCAATTTTAACT